CTGTTCAGCTGCTCCTCTCTTTATTTTCCACTTTCAGCACTTTAAAGAAAATAATTGCAGAGAGTAGAAATATGTAGCTGTTAACCCTGCCCCGCAGCCGCCGCTCGCGCCGCCGTCAAGCCCTGCTCCCTGCCATGTGCTGCTGGAAACGAGAGGAGCTGCAGCCTAATCCTCCCGGCTGACATCCCAGCCCTCCGGAGCAACCCCCTCCACACACTCTCTCTTTTCACATCAAATGGATTTAGTGCAGCTGAGTGAACTGTCCTTAGATCTTCCTAGGAGAGGCTGAGCATAAGCTAAGAGGCATGTAGTTTAGCAGCATATAAGTCATGTATCCCTCTGTTCACTATTCACAATTCTGTTAAAACTTGCACAGGACTAAGGATATGCTCTGACTGGATGTCACCTCAGGGAATAAAGTCATTTATCTAGATTACTTTTTCCTCTTCTTCCTTGACTTTTAATTCCATACCTACAGGCAAGTCAGTAAGTCATTGCTCACACGTATTAGATGTATTTAAGGGTGCAGGCCTTTGGGGACTGCCTGCCTCGGTCGCAGTCCCTTTCACTTAGCCTTGACAATGCATTCCTTCTTCCGATACCTGACATTTTCTTTTACTGCGTTGACCCAAAGTGTTAAGTACTCGTTCCTTTCCAGAGTGAAGGTGAAGGCTATGTAGATTGTGGGCAGTTGTGAATTTTGATCGTGATACGTTCCCCAGATTTGGGTTCACAGTGTTGCCCCTTGGTTTCACACCTGTAATGCCCTAGTTAGGGGATCTTCATGCAGGCAGCCCAGATGCTATTCTGGGCTATCTAGACAAACTTGTGCATTTTCTTTAACCAAAACCAACTGTTTTTTGGTCAGTCCATAGCTGATCACACTGAGAAAAGAGAGACAATGCTTGGTTCATGCTATTTGCTGCCAGTTGGAGAAGCACAAAATGAAGGGTTGCTACTGCTAATATTATAAACACCTCTCTGTGCTACTGTGCGTAGATGGTTGGTAGTAATGCAGCTAATTTGAGCTTTCAGAGGAATTCGCAGAGTAGTTGGGGTTGGAAGGGACCTCTGGAGCTCATCCAGTCCAACCCCAGCTACTCAAGGAGAGTCTCCTAGAGCAGGTTGCACCATGCTGTGTTATGTCAGGTTTTGAATATCTGTAAGGATGGGGACTCCACAAGCCTTCTGGGCAACCCGTTCCAATATGGAACCACTTGCACAGTAAAGAAGGGTTTTCTAGTGCTCAGGTGGACTTCCCTGTGTTTCAGTGTGTGCCCATTGCCTCGTATCCTGAGCCTGGGCACCACTGAGAAGAGCCTGGCCCCATCGCCTTGACCCTCTCCTGTTGGATATTGATACACGTAGGTGAGATCTGCCCCATGGAGCCTTCTTTCCTGGCTAAACACTCCTATCTCTCTCCTTTAATGAGAGATCCTCCAGTCCCTTAATCATCTTTGTGTCCTTTCCCTGGACTTTCTCCGGGAGGTGTCTGTCTCTCCTGCCCCGAGGAGGCCATATTTGGACAGTATTCCAGGTGTGTGTCTCCCCAGTGCCAAGCAGAGGGGAAGGATCCACCTTCACCCTGCTGGCAATGCTCTTCCTAACACAGTCCTGGGCACCACTGGCCACCTTTGCCCCAAGGGTGCATTGGTGGCCCTGATTCAACTCATGGGATGTCCCCATGACTCCCATGACTATCCTTCTCTTTAGGTGACCCTGCGTGTGCAGGGGGGTTGGACTAGATGATCTCTAGAGGTCCCTTCCAACCCTAAGCATTCTATGTTTCTATGATTCTATGATTCTCTGCAAAGCTGTTTTCCATCTGGTTGGCCTGCAGCATGGTGTGAGGCCTGAGGTTATTCCTCCCTGGGTGAAGGACTTGTCATTTCCCTTTTTCTGAGCCTCGTGAGGTTGCAAAACGTGCAAGATCTGCTTTTTTTCTTTTTCCAACTGAGCTAGAACACAGCTTTCAAAGGGAAACTGGATCAGACGTCTCAACTCTCGCAGGAATTCCAAGTGATAGAATTTGTTTCTTAAAACTGAGGTAATTGGATCCCGTAGTAAGGTAATTCTCTGAAAAAAATGCACACCTATATAGGGAAGTCTTTTTCTCTGTGTGAACGTTTTTAAGCTGCTAAATCTCTTTGGCTTAGAGTAAGTCTTGCTGAATCAACCTCAGTATCAAAATCCTGCTATGGGATACACTGGGCCACTGCATTGCTCTTGTATCTGGCCTTGCTTTGTTATGCAGTTTCCCAGCCTTGTAAACCCACACTTTTTGACAGCTTAATTTCCATTAAACTGGTGGTATAGCTGGCTTTTTTTAATGTGAACTGCTCTCATTTAATGTCAAATACCCTGGTTGTCCTATTTACACTGTGAATTCTGGAATGATGTTGGGTTCATGTCCAAAACAAGCGTTTGAGGAATGGATACACCTACGATCTGCCATATCTAGAAAGGATCTAGACAGGTTTAGTTTAAAACTAAGTTTAATTGCAGTACATGGACACCTCACAGTATTATCAGGTGCCAGCCTAGCTTCACCCTTGCCTACACAGCACCCCTGTCCTGGGAGGCTGCTGGGCTCAGGAGCCTCCTGGTTCCCTAGCCGGCAGACTGGTTCCTTCTGCAGTTTCTTGCCTGCCTAGCTGCTGCTCCTAGATTTATTTGTCTGGTGTCTCTCCTTCTTGGGAGACTGAGCCAGACAACTTCCCAGGAAGCCCTTTTTTCATCTCTGATATTTTCTGATCCAGCTTTTGTTCAGCATAAATAAAGCTGTTAAGCTGCTGTATGGAATGTATTTTAATGTACATGGGAAATTAATTTGAAAGATCATCATGTAATGCTTCTGTTATTATCTTGAACCAGTAACCTATGTTTAAATAAGGGAGTTGGGGTTTGCTGGCAGGTTTACAGAAGCCCTGCACTGCTCGTGGGTACAGGGTCTTTCAGCGTCCTGCTTTAGCATCTCACACAGGATCTTCTGGCTGCAGGTGGATGCTGTTACTCCAAGAAAGTCTGTAGAAAGTGTATGAGGGCAGGTTGCGGAAAAGCTGTTACAACTGTAGCTGCTTTCATGTGTCCTAGTGAGGAGGCAGGATCTTTGATTTGGAAAATGGAATGCCAGTACTGGCAGCAGTTATTGCAGCTGGTAGGCTCAGCACATCTGTTTTAGCAATAAAAAGAAGAGACATCCTTTCTCTCCAATCCCTTTCTTGAATATGTGGAGAGGTGGAGCACAGGTAACTCTTTGTGCTGCTGCCTGGCTTTGGCAGCGTTGCTTTGCAGGCTTGCTGGGTCTGTCTGCGTAATCTGAACTTCTGATCCTCCGAACCTCGTGTCCGGGGGTTGACTGAGAACTTCACCCAGTGCCCGACTGCCTCGAAGTGCAGGGGGATCTGGCTCTCTGGTGTAGACTGCGACCTGCTCTTTGGGTGAGTCTCACCTGAGCAGGAAGGTGCTGAATGTAAGTGCTCTGTTAACCTCATTTTCAGCACAATGGTCTTTCCATTTTCAGTACCATTTGGCCTGATGTCCTCTGTGGGACCCCTTAAACTAGAATGAGGTGAGGATTTCCCTTAGTTCTGCAGAAATCTATCCAATATCTTGTCAGCCATTTGATTAGGTCTCTGTGTTCCTCAACTGTCCACAGATTTCAGAAATGATTGATTTGGATGTCGTGTTCTGCCCCTCAGCCAGTTTCTTAGCACAGAACTCAAATTTGGTGTTAATGTGTTCCTTGGTGGGGTTTTGAACTCCTGCATCAGAATCCCTTCTGGCACCTAGGAAGAGGGCGTATTCCATGATGGTTGTGTCATCAGAAGCAAGGAAGATTTAGGCCATTGAGGCCAGCCACATGTATATCTTCTTACTCAACAGATAGCTGGACTTCAAACCTTTCCCGAAGTGTTTTATGGAAAGGGTTTACCCTACCAGCCTAGCAGTTTAGCCAGCTTCGTTCTACTGCACTCTCCTCTTATGTAGCTTGCATGTCACTAAAGGACACTGTATGTGGCCACCTTGACCAAGTACTAGGTGTTCGCTGCACATCCAGGAATTCAGAAGAGAAGTCTTCTGTTCTCTGGTCCTCTGTGACATGGCACAACAGTCTTTCTTTTAGTACCTGTATATTAGCATTTCAAATACAAATTTAGGTGGTAAAGTAGCCTTATTTATTGCTTTATTTAGAGCATGTAAGAGGGAAGGAAGGGGGAAGGAATAGAAGGGAGAAATGGAGTGGGGGCTTGAATCCCTTCTGTTCCTGGCTATACAATTTAGGCTGTCCCAGCTATGGAGAGGGTTGAGGAGAAGCAGGCACAGAGTGGGACTAGTTTGTGCAGACGGACAGGGACAGTGACACCGTGGGATGAAGCTAGTGTGAAATTTGCCATAAAGCAGACATACTTGATAGAAACAATTGTATTTCTTTTGTTTTGGGGCTCTGAGAACACACTGCGCTTGTGCTCCTGAGCTTTGTGTCCTGGCGCAGTGTTGTGTCCACTGCATCAGCTAGCTGTAGGCTGGGACAAGCAGGCTCGTCTCTGGGCAGATCAGAGCACGGGCAAAGCAACCACGTGCATTCTCCAAGCAAGCTTTGTGGCTGTGGCCTTGCTTTACTGTTGTGCTACTTAGGAGATTGCATCACATGGTAATGGAGATCTGTTTTGTCTGCCCGTGCATTCTCCAAGCAAGCTTTGTGGCAAGCTTTTTTTTAGGAGATTGCATCACATGGTAACGGAGATCTGTTTTGTCTGCTGTGTAGATGGATCCCGAGTATCGGGTGAAAAAATTCCTGGCTCTTCTGAGAGAAGAAGGAACGTAAGTATTTTTATTTTGGAAGGTTGTTCAGAATTGTCTTCTGGAGTCAAGAAACAAAGCAGCAACTTCCCTCTGAGTGAAAACTGACCTGTATATGAAGAACTATATATCAGATCAGTTCTCCTTATGGTTTGTACAGGTCCCGAAGACTTTTTGAGAACTGGCATGCCTGAGTTTTCTGCCTTCTTTATTTACTTTTAAAACATTAGTGAGATATTGGACCACTTTGTTTAACTGAAGTGTGTCAGAAGAGATTCTACTAGATATAAATAGCTATTTATCTAAAATCTGGAACTTCAGGGGTCTTTTTTCCTCCTGTGTAAGTAAAGGCTGTCCAGCTCTTTCCCCTCTGGGTATCACAGGGGATAGTTAGGCCCAGTATTGACTGTGATATCTCCTAGAAGATGTCCTTGTCATCCATGTATGGCTGCACTAACACAGTTAGCAACACTGTCCATACTGCTGCATGTTAATATTTGGTGCTTTTATACATGCGTGTGTGCTTTTCTGATGGATTTGGCTTCCTTTGCAGGAGTTCCCTAGACTGAAGATGGACCAAGCGCAAGGTGGACAGCTGGAGAAGTGACCAATCTGGAGAATATGCACTGGGATCTTTACTCTTCTGTATTCAACACACTGGACAAAGTGAAATGCTTCCCTGTTTCCAAGAACCCAATGTGGAATTTGCATGTTTAGTGCAATACAGTATCTTTATCCTTTGTCTTTAATATACTGATGTCATGTGGAAGTGTCTTCTAGAACACTGTGCTTATGTCTCTGTGCAGGCAAGGCTATGTTCTCATTTGATTTTAGCATGGGAGAAATGTAAGTTTTGAAGCTAATGCTCACTTGTGTCCAGCATCCAGTTGCTATGATAGGAAAGAAAACCTGACTTTGATAGTCCTTAGTGAAGTCTTATTTTAAGTACTATTCTGTATTATTCTGATCTGAAGAACACCTTCTTGTTCAGTTATGTTGTCATATGCCTCATTGAGCAGAATTATTGAGTCAGGCAGATATCCTTAAAGACAGTGAACACAATAATCTAGAGTTTTCTAGAGGCTAATACTTTTTTTTTTTTTTAATACCCAGGTATTTTGTGGCCTGATGGGGAAGAGACTGGCTAATGGCATTAGTGATAGGAAAAAGGCAGGGAAATATGCTGATCAGAACAGAGAAAATTTCAAATCCAGTATTTAAAGCTTCAGAACTTGCTCTTAATTCAAAAACAGTTGAGAGATGCTGGTTCCAACCCAAAAGCTCTTCATGAGTTCAATCTAGAAGATAGTTTTGGCATTAGCCAGGCTGATTATGTTCCTTTTCTCTGCCGTGTTACCAAAGGTTGAAATTCCTCCTTTGAGAGAGAGAGAGGAAGCTAAGCTCTCAGGCATCCATGGGATGCACGTTGCCACGGTTTTGCACTACAGTAAAGGAATGTATCAAACTTTGCTACATGGTCCTTGCACAAGAGTCATCTCACGTCAACGAGATGCTGTTGTTGATGACTGCATGAAGAAAATCCCCTCGATTTCATTGACTCCACCTGGTTAATAAGGTTCATGGAACATACCTCAGTTTGGTGGGGCAAAAAATCAAAGCCATTTTCGATCTTAGTCAGTATGGGTTCTTCAACTTGACTAGACATGCTGTAAGGACTAAGCAGCTTTATGCTGAAAGTGATGTTCCTGCGGAAAGGAGGTGGTTTTACATTCTTTAGGCCTGAAGGTGAAGGTTCTCTAGTCCTTATTTTGCAGACTTAAAGCAATCAGAGTATTTTAACCACTCCACTCTGGTTTCTTTTCCTTTGGCAGTGCTGTTGTATTGTGATAACATTACAGTCCCAGTGGTTATTACTCCCTCTCATTTTGTGTATGATCTTGTGACTTTATTTGTTCTCTTCTTTCCTCTGCTAGTCCTAGTGACAACAGCACACGTTAACTTATTTTTCAGAGTAAATGATGTAAACCTTACTGTGTCTTTGTCCAGAGCTATATTGATGAATAAATATCTCATTCAATTGCACATTGATGGATTCAATAAAAAGCACAACTCCTTGTGATGATATGGGAGACAGCTGTGTCCATGGGGGTGGTTGGGCAGACGTGTGTGCATGGAGTGCTGCCGTGTGGCATTAAGATGGGCAGCTGCTTCCCAGGCTGTTGGAAAGCAGAAGGCTGCTAAACTGTTTGAACCTGAGCTTGGACATAGATAGTCTAAAGGACTTGGCTCACAAGAGCTCTGGTGCACTCTGTTCCAGAGTTTCTTGGGCCCTGCAGTGCTGGGGACGTTCAGAAGATGTGGGGAGGTGATGGGCCACCCTTTGGAAAGGTCAGAGCAAACTGACTAGTGTAACATCCCACCCACTCCACTGTCTCCTGTGACTTTCCATCCACTGGGTTTGCTGCAGGGGGGAGAATGACCCCTCTCAGCTCCTTTCCATCACATTTCCTCTAAGACATGTGCCTTGACAAGGTCTGTTTTATATCGCTATAAACAATAATGGACCATTTTTTTCCTCCCTTTCTTTATCTTGCTGCTGCTTTTTACTGAACTTTACAGAAATGTAACCGTCTTGAAAATAGAATTGTTGGCCAAAGTCAAGCGAATTTGAATATGTTGGGTTCTGGGGTGGGTAGAGAAGATGGTAGAAGGATGGGCAAGAAGTGCAGAAGGTTTCCAAAGGAAAATATGCTCAAAAATTAAGCTAGTCACAAAAAAGACTGTGAGGACAGAGCTGCCAGTCACCCGGCTTGCTTAGCCCAACGTTATCTGTGTTTGTGTAACTTGGAAGTGTCTCTGCTGCCCTGCAGCAGGAGATGACACTGGCAGAACTGTGTGGTGTCCAGCATGGTTGGGCTACAGGGAATATAGAATGGTATTAATTAATTTATTTATTTACCCCGCATCTGGCCTCATTTTAGGCCAGTGCTGTGGAAAAAGGTGTATTAATGTATGGGAGAGGCTACAGAAACACTCACAGAATTATCCATGGCTGGGAGAAGATGTCTTGAAGTGAAAAAATTTGGGTCTTGGTCTGTCCAAACAGTGAAAAGATGATTCAAGGATAGCATGTAAGTTCTTTTTTAGGAGGAAAACTTGTGTAGAGGTTTAGTTCAATAATCTAGCAATGTGTGCACACTGTGACACTGCACTCTATAGAATCAGGTTCCTATTTTTCTTAGCTGTAAAAGCTCTTATGTTGGTTTCATGTTACCATCGGTGTCTTTCATTGACTGTCTTTTTGCCTAAGTAACTGGATGAAGCACCACTGCTCCCATAAATGTTCTGCAGTACTCAGCTCAAGGAACTTCAAAAGTCAAACCACACAAGCTGGCAAGTGCATCTTCTTGTTCATTATTTTTACCTTTTTTTAATGGCTTACCACAAAAAATGCAAGTTGAAATATATTTTTTTCTCCAAATATATATATTTATATAATATATAATCTTAGTTAACTCAAGTATATACATTGTATAATAAATAATGCTTATAAAAAGAGAAATTTTCTGAATATAAAATAAAAACAAATCAACCTCTACAACTTTATACAAAACTTTGGATACAGCAGATTGATGGAAAAAGATCTTCCATTCAGTGCTAGAATACCTGGCTACAGTAAAATAATTACAAGGCAATAAATGTTCTATTTAATATTAAATACCTTTTCTTGATTAAAAAAAAAAAAACAGAAACAGGGATTTTGTTTAAAGTCAGGTACTTGAGAGTCTTTGCAGACACAGGGTTTAATATATACTTTTAAATAGAATGCATATGAGAAGACAGCTTATTTCTGAGACATGGAGTTTTCCTTAGCTCTCCCATGATCTTTCAGACAGCTGGTGCTCCCGGGGCTGCTCGAATCCGGGAGCTCTTCACCGGGCTCTGCAGAGGAGGAACTGGGAATTTCGTTGAGTTTTGCCACTCCCAGCGTTGAGTGGCTGGGCCAAGTACTGTGCTCCATACGCGGGGCTCTTATGCATATTATTGCTCTTGGCAGTGTTATGTTCAGCTCTTTCTGATGGGCGAAGGGGTGGAGCGGAGGACAGAGCTTTAATGTTTGAGACACCTTTTGCAAGTCCTACCTCAGATTGTTGGCGTGTGAGAAGTGGCATCTGACCCTGCTAATGTCGCCTGATTGATGTTGGTCCCCATAATCTGTGGAAGAGCCCACCAGGGCATAGAGTTTTGTTATTACTTTTTTAATTTCAATAAGCAATATGAATATAAAAATGAGACCTCGACAGGAGAGGGGGAATGTGGCCAGGGAAGATCAGGGAGCAGGAAGAGGGACAACGGCTTCTTCTGCACCGAGATATGTTACGGGACGCCTGTGGCCCCAAGCTCTGTTGTTGTTCCAGAGCTTCTAGGCTTGAGCTAAAGCCCTCGTAAATGAACTGCTAGTACCTCAAGAAATAATCCTAGGGGAAGGAAAGGGTCTGCCTGGAATTGTGATACCACTTAACACAGTAAAGTCTACCCTTCTCATCTGCCCTGGCGCCTCTTGCTGGACAGGGTGATTTGAACAGTGCTGATAGGAGAAATGCTGGTAAGGAGGCTTGAACAGAAGTCTCTTTGCCTCCTTTGTTACTGATGCTAAAACTGGGTGTAGCAACTAATGTGGCATGGGTCCCTGATACCAGAGAGATACTGGGAGCTCATCTGGTCATGAAAGATCATATTATGGGATACAGAGCAAAAAGGTGCATCAGCAGAGTGGATCTGGCCAGTTCTGATTTGGGACTGTCTGGAAAGATGGCAGCAAAACCTTGAAAATCTCCCTCCAGCAGCTGCACACGAGGGAGCCGTGTGGGGGTGGCGATCCAGCTCACGTCAGAGACCGCAGCCTCCCCGAGCCTCCACCCTGCTCTTAGCTGAGGCCTGTGCCAAAAGCCAGAGGATCAGCTCTGGACTTTGGTTTCCTGCCGTCCTCCTCAGTTTGGATTATAGAGGTCATTTCAGAGGGTAAGAAGCAGCGATGGCCAAAGGGGAGGGGAAAAGAGAGATGGGCTGTAAGGCTCCCTTTGCAAGCTCACTGAAACCCATTATTTCTCCGAAATACCTCCTCGGAGTTGGAAGGCAAGAGCCTGGCTGGTGTGGGGAGCTGGCTCCTTTCCTTCCTTCTCACACTCCATCTGCTCAAGCTGGGACGGTCCCTGCAAGCAGGCAGGGGAACCTGTATTTGTTCTGCTTTCACTATGTTAAATTTATTGCCACCTGAAACCCTGTATTAACATCTATGTGGGCCAGGTTTCCAGAGGACAGAGCTGGAAGCTCTGGACATGCCTTGTTACTGGCACGCTGACTGATCACTGGTGCCTCTCTTGGGCCCACGATGTCCCTCCCTCATGCCAAACAGCGTGAGAAAAGTCAGTAGAGAAGTGATCTAACATCTAAGTGTCTGTGGAGTCAAGCCCAGCCTCAGACCACTCGCTTGGTTGAGGCTTGGTGATCCTGTGAGTCTTCTCCGCAGCTCTGGGGCTGGCTATAAAGAGGGTGTTTGCCCTGGCCAAACTGGCCAAAGGCTTTGGGATTATTAATGTCATCCTCTGAAAGTGTGAGGCCACCGTGTGGATGCTGATCCCAGGGCTGATGAACCCCTGGCCCGTGTCTGGAGCAGCCTCCCCTTATTTGGAGACCTACCTATGGTTACTTGCAGGTGTGGACATCATAGACACGTATGCACTCCTGGCAGCTCACGTAGCAGCACCAGTGGAAGATGCAGTGACACTTCTCCTTCCGCTTCTCAGTCCTGGTGTTG